GTATGCATGCATACATGCATGCATACACACATACATAGATACACGCGTGTATGTCTACCGAAGCAGATCGAAACAACCGTTCGTGGAACCTAAGTATGTATGCATGTGTGTATGTACGTACGTATGTATGTATGCATGCCTACATACGTGCATGCTTGCATGTGTGTAAAGATGTATACAAGTGTATATGTATGTTATATTACAACATGGATAAGTGCATGCATGTACGTATGTATGTACGTATGTATATAAGTAGGTATGGATGTATTTGTATGTATGTGCTTATGTATGTATGTATGTATGTATGTATGTATGTATGTATGTATGTATGTATGTGTGTATGTATGTATGTCTGCATGCATGCATGCATGCATGTATGTATGTATGTATGTATGTATGTATGTATGTATGTATGTATGTACAGCTGTATGTACAGATCTTTTATATACCCACAATTCCTGTATACGCATAGGATATATATATATACACACATATATATATATATATCCGTACATACACACACACACACACATTTTCTACATATACATAATGTGTGCATATAAACACACATGACATGTGTGCTTCCTGACACAGGTAGCTTGTAAACAAGACGCTGGACATTTTTATAATCGCATATGTTCGCACGTGCGTATATCGATGTGGTACACAAAACTCTCTCTCTCTCTCTCTCTCTCTCTCTCTCTGGTTCGCCAAACCCAAGTTCGGTTTTGCGCCTGATTAGCGGTTTAATTCTCAATAAGTGCATGTTCCTAGATTCTCCTTGTTATCGGTTTGTTTATCTCTCTCTCTCTCTCTCTGTGCGTGTGCGTGTGAATGTGTGCGTCTGTGCGTGTGTGTGTGTGTGTTTGATTGTGTGCGCGTGATTGTGCGCATGTGTTTATGTGAACAACTCACGTATTTTGTTGCGTTAGCTGTTGTTGCTACGTACCCTTAGTCGATGTGCGCATTCATGTGCGCGTGCTCCTGTCCTTGCGATCCGAAATGCCAGTGCTACTCAGCGACCTTCGTCGTGGCCTCATCTTCTACCCAAAACACCGATCGGGCACCCCTACACAGGCGATAACCCGAACCCTAGATCCTATAAATCCGCAACCCTGAAGCCCATCAGTATCAGGCCTAACCCCTGCAGCCTCATAGAAGTAGAAGCCTTATATGCCCTAAACTCCCCACCTGTAGTTTCCTTCAACGTACCTGTAGTTTGTGAGTTATGAGCAGGATTGCAGAGAGCAGAATCCCCGACCTCGTGCACAAACCCCTTGAAAACCTCAACCCTAAATTCCACCGTCCGAATTAGGGTTTAGGGTTTAGGTTTTAGGGTTTAGGGTTTAGGGTTTAGGGGAATCCTAACTCCGAAGCCTTGTTGTTTTGCTTTTCTCCTTCCGAGGAGACAAAAATTTGCCTACGCATGCCGAGCTGTACAAGTTTCGGAAAATGGCTCTCTGTATTTTCTCCACGATGCCAAGGCAGCTCACTGGCGAGGCTCAGAATGCCATGAAGGGTGAAAAGATGGAGGCCTCATGGACAAGAGCCGGGGCATCAGGTTCCAAAGTTCAGATTTTTTCGGGAATGGTGTGTAATTCGGCGAACGTATCTTGCGACAAGGTCGTGTCGAGGACCTGGGAAATTATTTTATTCTATCCCAACCACACCGTCGAAGGCGGCCAAACCACCCCAACCTAGTTGAGAGGTTTCAGTGCTTGGTGTTCACAGGCATGGTGATGAGGGGCGTCTGGGTGCTTTGGAATGCAGGTTGCGAGGATATGGAAGCCCCAGAACTTCAGCACAATTAATATGCCATGCCTTGCGTGCGAAGTGCACGGTCCCTTAAACCCGAAACAGGAAGTGAATATTCTGCAGCATGAAGCCGCGAGCCGTATCGAGACCCTTTCAGTCGGTCTCTCCCACTGAAGCCCTAGGCACTTCGCCTTCAAAACCCCTAAACCCTAAACCCTAAACCCCCCCCCTCCCAAAAAACAAAAAAAACCTAGACCCTAAATCCTAACCCTAGCCCCTGAAACTCTAGACCCGGAGCCCCCTAAAACCGCACAAACGCCGTCAGCAGGAGCTGAGCAGGTCAATCGGGCGAAAGCTCGAGGACCATGCCACCAAGATCATGGACAAGCAGGCCAGCGGTACTACCGAACAGGATCCTAAATATAAGCCACAAAAACGAACTACTATGGGGCCTATGGGTAAACCATAAATCCTAAATCCGAAACTTCAAACCCTGCATAAATCAGGTTCGGTTTGGCGTGCCAGGGAACTGGCCTCGAAGCTTGGGTTTAGGGTTTAGGGTTTGGCTTCCAGATCGGACTCTATATTGCGATGCACGCCAAATTGGTAGGTACATCGAGTGGGCTTAGCACGTACGTGCGGGGAATTCTCTACATTAGGGTCCCTTCTTAGATCCCAAATATAGCACGGCACCCTTGTAACAATTGACCCTAAAAGGGACCCTACTGTAGAGAAGTACCCATATTACATACATATATACACATACATACGCACACGCACATACATACATAATACATACATACATACATACATACATACATACATACATACATACATACATACATACATACATACATACATAGACAGGTAGAAATGTATCTGTATATGTATGTATAGGTATGTATGTATGCATGCATGCACGGACGGATGGACGGATGGACGGATGGATGGATGTATGTATGTATGTATGTATGTATGTACGTACATGCGGGTATGTACGTATAGGTAGGTAGGTAGGCAGGTAGGCAGGTGGAGGTGGAGGTAGGGCAGACAGGTAGGTAGGACAGTAGCTACTATAGGTAGCTAGGATGTATGGGTGCACATATGTGTAGACAACGGAGCCGGAGAAAAGGTCGTGGAAAGGCTTCAGTTCTCAAGCTCCGGTCTTTGCCTAAACTCGCACTGCCCCCACGGCCAAAACCCTACACCCTGAACCCCTGAAGCCCCAAGCCTGAGACTTCTGAAGCCCTGAACCCCAAGAACCCAAAAAACCTTGTAATAAGCCTCAGCAAAAAACAGAACCCTAAACCCTCAGCCTTGAAATCTCTGAACCCCAACATCCTGGACCCTCAAACCTTCGAAGAAGACTTAAAGAGCCCAGACGGCTTCCCCGCAATAAATCCCTAATCGATGAACCCCAAACCCTAAACTCTAAACCCTGAGCACCACAAAACAAAACTTAAACCCTCAAGTAAACCAGAAAAAAGGTAATCAGAATGAAACCCTTCACTCTTAAGTACAACAGACAAAAGGTAGAAGGCCCCTCCCTTAGAGCTTTGTGAAGAGGTGAGCGGCGCCCTGGTTCAAGCTGCCGGAGATCGGAAAGTTTTCGATAGCGATTCCGAAGCTTAATCCGAGCCGCGTCAAAAAAGGAGGAGGTCGGGGTTTACCCATAGGCTCCATTGCAGTTCCTTTTTTGTAGCTTTTCTATTTAGGATCCTATAGGCCTATAGGGTAATCCCCAAAAGGAACTACAATGGAGCCTATGGGGCCTAAGGGTAGGGACTTAGGGTTTAGGGTTTAGGGTTTAGGGTTTTAGGGTGTAGGGACTTTGGGTTTAGGGCTGTGGCTTGCGGGGTCTGAGGGAGAGAGGAGTCGAGGAAACAGGGTACTCGGGCGATGAGAAGGTCATCATAAGGGTTTAGGGTTTAGGGTTTTTAGGGTTTTTAGGGTTTAGGGTTTAGGGTTTAGGGTTTTAGGGTTTAGGGTTTAGGGTTTAGGGTTTAATCATAGTGGTAGTTCGTCGCAGGAAGAACTGCATGTTAAGCGAGACGGCCAGAACTTGTTCGCTTATGGATATCATTCTCCCTGATCGACAGCACTGTGGGAAAAGGTCCGGTAAGGCAGCAGGGTTGGCATATAGAAGCCGGAGTAATTCCTAATGTTGTTCCTGAGGGCTCCTTCTTACGATTCTACGACAATACCCTGCCAGAATTGTTTAGGCCCCTATATTACTGTATCCCTAAAGACCCCTTTCAACACAATAATCCTAAACGTATAACTGAGGCCCCTATATTGCCCATATTAGTGTGCGTGGGTCGGTCCACCCCCGTCCATCTCTGCAGTGGATCCCTTCGAGGTCGCAAGAGATGGAGCATATGGCATCCCGAGGAGACGTTTGGGTTTTGGGGCTTCGGGTTTAGGGTTTTGGGGTTTTGGGGTTGATTTTGGGGTCTTGGGGTTCAGGGTTTGGGCTTTCGAGCTGAGGGTTTCAGGGTTGGGCTTTAGGGTTGTACTGAGGTTTGGGATGTGGGAATAAACGATCCTTTGCATATGCAACTGTAGAGAGCGCTAAGATGCAAGGTTTCCAGGGGCTTGTTTCCGGAGTTGTATGGGATTCAAAGCTTTTGGGGTGATCGTGGCAAGACCTGGACTTTCCTGCACTTGGGTTCAGCGATCACGATCATGTGCCCTGTCCGCAGGATGCTCACCTGCTGAGTCCTGTCCTTGAGACTACCTGACATGTTGAATGATCTCAGCCGATTGGGTTTAGGGACGGGTTTGGGGCTCACAGACTGTCTGGCTTTATCGCTCGCAAAGAAGGTCCATCTGGCTCCGGATTGCCTGTAGGTCGCCTGCCTTTGCATTTGCGAAAGCCCAATGCCGAAAAGGCTGAGCCCACAAATGACAAAGAACACTACAGCTAAAGTACCGAATAAGTCATGCCTTCCCTCCGCTAAACCCTATACATAGCAAGTGCTACATCGGATGCCGCACAAGCCTTCTCTAATTGTCCGCACTTTGCCCTTGGAGAACTCAGGATGGTACGATTCGTGTTTCCTTCGATCTTCAGCCTCGAAACCAAACGAGGCTCTGAAGCCAACATACTTACAAAGAAGAGAAGTTCTTAAACGATCTTGACATCAAGCTCTCACACCATGAAATCCTCATCAAATCCGTGTTCAAGCCCTCAAGCTCTCACACGAAACGCTTCATTCATTCTAAACCCTCAACATTGGCGGGAGGGCCAGATCCGAAACAGAAGTTGAAGGACCTTAAACCGAAAACCCTAAACCTTAAACCCTAAACCATAAACCTTAAATCCTAAACCCTAAACCTTCAACCCTAAACCCTAAAACCTGAACCCTAAACCCTTCAAATCCCGACAGCCGAAAGCCTACAGCACACGCAACCCCGAATCTCCAAGCCTACACCCACAGAACCCTGAACCCTTAACAACAGCTTTATCTACTGCAACGAGACCCTATAAGCTAAAGCTTATAGACTCTTAAAGCAAAAGCCCTAAACCCCGAAAGCCCTAAATCCTCAGAGCCTTAAAAAAACAAGCCGTAAGCCCCGAAACCATAAATCCTTAGAGCCTCAAAGCAAAAGCCACGCTCCCTCAATGTCTTGCCAGGCCGGGCAAGGTCTTTCCCACATTTCCTGACCTTTCAGACTTGGAAGCGACTCAGCGGAACGAAAACAGCGGCTTCGAGAGTTTTGGTGTTTAGGGCTTAGGGTTTGGGGTTTAGGGTTTAGGGAGAATGCATTTAGAAGTTCAGGGTTGGGTCTTCAAGCGTCAGTTCTGAAAGGCCAGGCCTCCATTATGTTGAGGTTTAAGTTGAGATGTCGTGTCGCATGCGAGGCAACATGCAACTTGCAGTTCGCAGTAACGGTCGAACTTCATAGCTTCAATACAATAACAATATAAGAATAGTATTATATAATAATAATAATAATAATTATTATTATTATTATAACTATAATAAAAATTGACGACCCTTGGATTGCTGGTCGCTTCGGACGATCTCATACATCCACGCTGGTGCCGGTGCTCTTTGCCTTCGCGGTCGACTGCGCTTTCCGGTGCCCGTGGCGGTGTTGAAACTTCGTGTCCCGGGCACCTGCGATTGGTAGCACGAGCGCATGCTGTCTTAAGCCGTCCTGGCGACTGGGTCTTTGCCCGACCACATTCCAACGCCTTGCCGCAGGATATTCCGTCATTTCGTTCTGGCGCCGAGCTTCTCATATGACTACCCTCTATACATATTATATCTATATCTATATATCTATATATCTATATATATATATATATATGTATATATATACACACGCATACCCATATTCAAGGGCACTGGCTCGAGCGGCCCCGCAACTTTGCAAGCCATTGGGACCCTCTGAATCCAATAATTGGCTACAGCTCTCGAAAATCGAGCGACGTTAGCACCATGCCATCACGATTGGTCGTCAATGACACGTGAGAGTCCACCCAACCCTGGCGACGGGACGAAACTTGTGCTAGTTGGTTAGGAACCCAGTCTTCGATAATTCGGGAGGATGGTTGTCGAAGCAACCATCCCATGGATGCAGTCTTATACGAATCGTTTTGGACGTGCATGTTTGCTGGTTTCAATTCAACGTCATTCAAGTCAGAAGTGAGCAGGTTCTATCGAAACGGGGCAGCAAGATGCATTCGGAACCTTCGTCTGACTTCTTATGCCACCACTGTGGCAAGTGTTACAACGTGGTGCAATACCGGACACGAGGCAGCCTGACTCACCCAAGATTGCTAGTTATTATTTCTAGTTTATTGTTCCAGCGACTTCGTCTTGGCTTGCTGTTGGTATTCCACTCGGTAAGGAAACCGTGTCGCCGCATCCGGTGATATCGTAGGGCTGACCGAACCATGCACGTCAACAAGCGCGCCCCACTTTGCTACCGCACGAACCCGCTCGCAGCGCGACAACCTCATATACTGTGTGGTTCTGCGCGGCTTTCATGGCGCGCCCATGACAGGCACGGGTAAACTTCCATCAGTTCGCGTATTAGTTTGTTGGTGGAGACTATCTCCGACCAACCATTGCAAATTTGATGTTGCTGGCCCAAATTATCGGGGCACCTGCAGGCCAAGACAACATACCCAGCACTAATTTTCGGCATGCTTCTTCACTTTGTTATACGAAACAGCAACGAAAATTAGGTATGTGCCTACGTCGTGGTTTGCGAGCTTCATATGTCGCTTCGGGGTCACCCCGTATGAGCAGCCGTCAATGTCATGCAAGAGTAGAGGTAGTGTATACGGCAGATCAATCGAGGTTTGATCTGCAGAACGGACACGCAGAAAACGATAGCGAAGTTATGCACGAGAGTATGTAGCACAACATCACAATCCGCACCACACATTCGCATCGCCGAAAAGTTCGATACATCAAACTCCATGACACGGCTACATGTAGCCGGGCAATCGGCTTTGAGGAGATATTGGCGCAGTCGCCAAGAAAGCATGTGGATAGAACAAAGAGGCCAGTTCACGTGGGCCTCGAGAACACTCCTCTGCACCCAATCGAGATATTTCCTGACTATGGTGCTTTTAGGAGGCTAGCCCTTATTCCGACTGCGTTGTTCCGACTGCGTTGAGATTCTGGGCAGTCGCAAGAAGGCCTGCGGGAAAAAGACAACTCTACATGCATGAACAAATTTTTGTGGTGGCATGGAAATCATATCCAACAAAGCTGCATGGCAAGT